CCGAGGTCCTCCCGGTTGCAGATCGGTCTTTCCTTTGGCAACTGTCGCGTTGGTTGTTCATTCTGCCTGTTGACCTCAGGGCCAATCTTCCTCTGGTCTCCCTATCGATCTATCTGCCAATCTGTTTGTCCCCTCTCTTATCGCAAGATGAAGTTCTTCAGGTATCTACGGCAAATAAGTTCCTCGATCTCATCGCGGAGATTCTTGCAATTCTCTTTCTTGTGTCCATGATCTCGGTGGAAATGGCAGTAAACATTTGGGTTTCTTGTTAATGGGTCTCCCCTTATCCTGTGAGGCCATTTGACGAAGGAGGAGTCCTTAATAGCCATTAAGATCTCTCCTCGCTTAGCGTTCATAGGCATGTAGCTCGTTCTCTCCACAGGTGGGGTCCTGGAGTGTCGACCTGACTTGCGAGTTTGCGAGGGGGACCGGCTTCTTGACTTGCTTATTCCCCTGCTCAGGGACTTGCTTTTCTTCCTTTTCTGCCCCCCATTGCTCGTTCCTTCATTCTCTCTCTTTCTCTTTTCCGACGGCGGGTTGTTGATCTTTTGATTGATCTCCTCCTCGGTACCGATGAATTGATTTGCTAACTTAAGAAATTCAGTGATGTCCTTTGGTTTGTTAGCTACCACATGCCACTTAAACTCTTTATGGGTGATTCCTTTCTTTGCTGCAGTGAGTCGTATCGCCGGGTCAAGGTCCGGTATCTGCAAGCAAGTGTTGTTGAAGTGCTTAATATAGATTTTGATCGATTCTCCTTCCCTCTAAACCATGTCTAGAAGGATTTTCTACGATTTCGGACACTTCTTACTGGTAATGAAGTGTGCAGTAAACAAGTCGGCGAACTGGGACCAGCTTTTGATGAAGCCTGGCGTGAGGTTTCGGTACCAAGTTCGAACTACCCCCTTAAACATAGTGGAGAAGGCCACACACATGCATAACTCATCAGCCCCGGCTAGGTGCATCTAAGACTGAAAAGAATCCACATGGTCATTGGGGTCAAACGACCCATCATACTTGTCTAATGGGGGCATCTGAAAATCTTTTGGCATTGGAGTTGCCAAGAGCTCGGGAGACAAAGGGGATGACCGACAAAGTAGTGGAGGCGCAGTCTTCATAGCCACCGAGCTCACTTCTTCCTTTCCTTTGGCTTGCTCTTCTTGCTGGCCTAGCTTCGCCAGCGAGCTGTTCCTGGTCGAGGGGCGGCGTGTTTTGTGATGTCATCGCTGCTGCTTCTTCATCGGCTCGGCGTTGGTGCTGCTGACTTCAGTCTGGTCTGGTACTTCAGCCTTATCGCGAGGTAGATCTTAATTCCTTCTTGTTGGATTCTCTTGGTTGTGGGGCTCGAACTGGCTATCGCGAGGGATGAAGAGGCCTTGTCTCGAGTTCGCACCTCAAACTCCGAACTGGTTATTATCTGCTCACGAGCCGTCATTTTCTTGCTGGGAGTACCGAGGCGGATTTGGCTGACTATCCTCGGACCTGTTTTTGAGATTTCCTTGCGAGACTAGAGGAGTGTGCTGACCATCTCTCCTCCTATGGGGCGAAACTTGAATCCTGAAAGGAATCGGTACCTGCGAGGTCTCTTCACCCCGATGGGGAGATCGACTGATGTTTTGGTTGGTTCTAGGGCGATTCGGGTTTTGGCCTTAACAGGGCCCTGGGTGCCGAGGTGGAACCGGCTACTGGTTCGGCTATAGTGGTGGGAACTGGTGTTGATACAAATGGTACAAATAGTACTACTGGTACTGCTGGAATTGTTGGACCTGCTGCATCTGGATCTAAATTGCCCGGACGCACTGAACGAGGTCAAGAAACTGGGAATGCCCGATTCGAGGGGGAACCACGGATGGCTTAGAGAAAGTCGTGCCTACCACTAGGGGAAGTGGGATGCTCACTTGCGTGGTGCTCTGTGGTGCGGACAGTGACGAGATTTCGCACACTATGAGCATAATAGTGAACTGGTCGATGCATACCATATGACCTTGGGGAAAGGTCGATTGCTGGGCTTGCCCCCCGATGACGTTCATTTCGACACTTTTTCTGGTGTGGATGGAAGATGCCATTGAGGTTGAGATTAATCGTTTCCCATAGACGACGCCAATTGATGGTGCACGATCTAGCTACTCCTACCTGGAGGGTGATCCGAACTCCAATCGGGTGGCAAGCTGGATCAATCTGCAAAATAATGGATCAGAGAACCCGGGGTAGCTAACCCGGCAAGGTCGCTTTGATGCTTAAGTCAGTACTTATGCTGTGAATGTGAGCTGAGTGCTTGAGAGCTTGAGTGCTAGTGAGTAGAGTAATCACGCGTACTTTTGCCTTGAGGTTTCATGTCTTTATATACTGGAGTAGTCGTGGGTCTTATGAAAGATTTCCGAGATCTTCGGGCTGTGGAGATGAGGTTTGTTCCATTTTTGAGGGGGAGTAATATGTAGATAAGGTTTATCGTTTACCTCCGATTTATGCGGAGCCGGGACGAGTTCTCATCGTGATCTCGAGAAATTCGGGATCTGTTGGGGAGGTCTTTGGAGTCGATTAAGTGGCGTTTTGACTCATTAGCTCTGAGCTGGCACTTCGATTATTTAGTCCCAAATTGGATTGGGTGTCGAGGTGCCTCTACACCGAGGTGGTTTTTTGGGCTGAGGTGGCTGAATACCCGAACTCCGAATGTTGCAAACTGGGCTTGCCTAGCTAAGTTGTCACCCTTCAATCAGGTCGCACCTACATGTCCCCTTCTTGCTAGGTCGTGTCAAATTACCCTTCATCACCTACCTTTTCTTTCAAACCAAACATAGCCTTAGGTTGTATAGGTTTCCCTACTTTTTCCTTCCTTTCCCTACCTTTTCTTTCAAACCAAACATGGCAAAAAAAAGGATTGAGAGAGATTGGAACCGATAGGACTTCAAGATTGAAAATTCCACATCCTTTCATGAGATTGAGGGAGGAAACAAAATTAAATTCTAAATCCAAATAACCAAACATAGATTACAAAGAACTTCTAGCTTTTTTTTTATCAACATCACATCAACTAATAAGTAAGGGTCCCCTTGATTCATATTCCCCTGCCTGTTTGGTTCAGACAAGAATTGGAATCTCATTCCATAAGATATGCATGACTCCCATAGAGGGTTTGGCATTGAGTAAAGACAAATAGGTTTTAGGGATCTTTAGGTTATTTGTCCTTTTTTTTTTGGCTGGCTGGAATGAAATTCTCATTTGTAATGGGAGAGGTCAGAATGGCCATTTTGTAAAATGAGAATGCCATTCCACTAGGAATGTAATTGGAATTAGAAATGGCAACAAGGTGGGACGTCCGAGATGGGGAATTCCTGAATCCCCCCCCCCCCTAATTTGTGGATATTTTATTAATAGAATTCCTAGGATTCAAGTGTTTGATAAAAAACTTAGAAATATTTTAAAAATTAATATTAAATCTAGAGACATTTTATTAATTTACCATCGTGAAGAATTATATCCTCGTCCTGTCCTTGGTTTGGGGCAAAAAAATATTTTCCCTATCATCGTTTAAGACTGGGGAAAATCTGCTCCATTCGGGGCTGACCCCTGTTTTATAAGAAAAATTACCATCATTAATCGAAACCCTATTCCTCCAACCAAACAGGTAGAACAACCATTGGATTCCAATTCTATACTCCTATTGCCTTGAACCACACACACCATAAAATCCACTCTCTCTCTCTCTCTGTCTCTGTGGATCCATAGTTCCTGTTATCAACCTTCCAAATCTCCAATCAGTGTTAACCCTCGTTAATGACATGGCATTATGGCAACCGGAAAATAGAAAAAAGCCTACATTAAAAAGAAACTCCACACATTGAGCGACCCAACATTCCCAATGATTCAAACCATGCATTAATGGCAATAACTGATTCACAACTCAAAAGATCGCCAAGAACAACCAAATCTCCATTCGCCAAAGAGATGTCACCAAGGCGACATTGGGTTGAAAAATTGGGGAGCAAAGGAGATGACAAATTGACAATATGGAAAGAGTATGAAATGGAAGGTTTGAGGGCAGCATGTGTGAGTGTGAGCCACCCATTCAACAGGCAGCAGAGGTCCACCCAAGAATCGATGAACAGGGACAACCCAGAAACAGATCCCCTCATCCCCCTCCGATTAATTAAAATACAGTAAAAAAGAGGTAAAGCGTGCTAGTGCGAGGCACCCAAGAATGAGCTTGGCGATGCAATGCCCTAATGACCATGAGTGCCTGCCCATGTGCATGTGGGGAGACCCACCTTATCATGCGTCATTATTTGGCAGTAGTAGTAAGCTCTAAGCTAGTTATAATGAAGTGAACAAGTAGTTGTAGAGGAGATGGACAATATTCCGTTTATTACCAAAACAAAAATAGATAGATGGGAGAATATTCCGTAACCATCCATCCATCCATCGTTACCTACTAATAACATTCCTTAACATCCACATTATTAGGGTCACTTGGGCCACCACCACCCAACCCAACATTGAGTAGACAATACCTACCTAGACTAGTTGGTCATTGTGACAATAAAGCCCACACACAGACACTCGGCCAATCTTTCGACTTTGGACAATGCAATCACTCATCAGTCCACTCGACTTGGACTGCTCACAACGATCGAGTCCCTTTTACTTCTACGGTTCTACTATTCCTACCCATCAACAAAAAAAAAATGGAAAAACCTGGATTCTGATTTTATTCTTTCTTTCTGGTTTGTACCATTATTGTTTGTTTAAATTCTAAGAGCTTCCAGCCTGTCCTCCTTTTTAGCTTGTTTCATTAGCCTGTTCGTTTTCCCTTTTCTTTCACAAGTCTAAATTTTCTTCAATTGGAAACATTTGATGGAAAGTACAGAACCAGTTCAGTTCTTTGGTTGTTCAAGAAAGAGAATCAGCCAAAAACTATTTGAGTATTTCATGATTAATGAATGAATAAAGAGTTAATTCCCCATAATTTCTACTTCCCCATTTCCTCTTAAAATTAGCCAAGATAGCATAAGAGTACACCCATTTACCAAAAGTAAAAAAGAAAGAAACAAAAACAATCAACTTTATCTATCTTTTTTCAATGTTAGGTTAATACAGAGGAAGCAAACAAGTAATCATCTATCATCAATCATCATCAACATAAAAAAGTTAAAAATTAATTTACACGGAAACGGGGGGTTGTGCATAAGAAAGAAGAACAGAAATGGAAGTTGAGCCTGAGCGAGGGATCTTGCAGTTAATACACTTTCTTAGAGAAGAGGGATCGTAGGTTAAAGAGGTTACCCCCGTTTCCACTATTAGCAGAGCTAACACCGCGGCCCTGTTCATGACCACAACCATTACCAATGGCGCTACTCGCATCGTTCCTGCAACTCAAATGGGAACGGTACCCTATACACATCGGAACATTCAAATTCAAAACCCTAGCTCTGGCTCCACCACCACCAACATTCTTGCTCCGCCTACTCTCTAATCCTTCCTTCTTTACTCCTTTATCGGCATTCCAAGCCAGAGGCTCGCAGCTTCTTGCGCCGGAGCCTCCACGCCGTACCTGCCAAACTGGGCTACTCCTCCCCACATGGATCCCACCTCGTCCAGGACTATTTGGCCATTTCCGGAACTTGTACTCCCCAGCTGAGTTACTGCGTGAACAAGGAGCGCTACTAACCTTCCGGGAAGCCGCCCCTCCAGCGGCCATCTTTGGCCGGTTGCCGCTATTCCCAGCCGAACGGCTCCTGGAGAATGGCCATATATTGATGTTGAGCTCCGCCGCGTTCGCGCCACTGCTACTTTTCCTTTCTTTTTTCTTGTCTTTGTCTCTGTCTTCATGGTTGTTGGTGGTTGTAGAGGATGCCACGGCTGCCGCTTTCCTTTCACCCTTCTTGAAAATGTCCCTCCATCGCTTGGATGTCGAAAATACAGGCGGTGACTCGGATAACAACGCTGCTGACTGTGGTCTTGGCCCAGGCTCTGAATCGGGTTCTGTAGTGTGCATCTCCTCTGCATTGGCTTTGGGTTCCGAGTCAGGTGGGTCGGAGTGGTGAGAAAGGAGGTGGAGCGGGAGCAGAACGCCGTCAACGAATAATTCGTCAGCAGAGTGGAGGTTGAGTTGTGGGAAAGACGGGTTTCTGACCATCCAGAACTCGAACTCAGGCGAATTGGAAGCGCTGCTCCTCCTTCCACTGCTGTTGGGTGAAAGAATTTTGTAGGTTGCAGGTATTTGAGCTTCTGGTTCAATTCTGGGTTTCTCCATGGATGCGATCATGCGAAAGCTAGAGAGGGAAAGAGAGAGAGTGTGTGAGAGGGGAGAGGAGGGAAGTGGGGAGTAGTTTTTGTTGAACAGAGGTGGGTGGTGTGAAGTTTCTTTCTTCCCTCGGGAGTCAGCACATGGTTCCGTGCAGGGTCCCAACAGCCAACAGGCAATAAATAAAGAAAAAGGAGAATGAGTTATTAAAGCTGAACTTTGAGAGAAACAGAAAAAAGCTCGAGAACACACACAGTGAAAAGATAATTAAAAAGAGAGAGAGAGAATGTACTGCGTGTGCGTCTGTGACTTTGTGCCTGATCTGATCTCGTCTTAGAGTTGGACTGATAGATCCCAACCGTGGGAAGAGATGGGCCCGTCCCATCACAACAGTAGATAATGACCGTAGGATCATATGACTGATCTCCAGGTGTTGATTAGATCTAATGTGAGGAAGAAGACGATGACAGAATCTGGATGTGGTGGTACTATCTTTAACATGATAGTGATGTCATATCAAAGGAGGGTCCACAAGTAAAGTGTACATTGGGATGGTGCGTGCTCACATGTCACATTCATGTTGGGTCTTGGACTGATGTAATAATACGTGGCGTTGACATCAACCATCATCTCTGTTTTGATTTTTTTTTTTTTTTGTTTCTTTTTGAAAAAAACATCATCTCAATTTTGGATCGTGAGATTCAAGGATGTCTTCTTGCCCCTACCTCCATTGTCCTTGGAGCCGAGAATACTTCCCTACTGCACAACCATTCTTGTTGACAATAAGGTCGCAGTAATAGCTTCTTTGTTTTTTTTTTTTTCCCTCGAATCTCTCCACATGAGAATAGTAAATATATCCCACTATGACATTCAAAAGGTATGATACCTTAAAATACTAATATTAAATTAATTTGTCATTTTTATTTAATAGTTTATCTCAAACTACTAATAATTATAAGTTGCAGCAGAGCAGAATATAAAAGAAAATAGTACACTAGTCCTGCAGTAGCAGTAATAACAACTGATGTACCCAAAAACAAAAATAAGTCCATCTTAAACTTAAAACCCTTACATTTCCTGAAAAGCCCACGTGACATTAAAATTCTCAAGCAATAAAAATTGTGCATCCGCAATTCTGCATCCAACTCCTTAACGAAGAGAGAGAGAGAGGGGCTTCACTCAAATTCTTTGTCTCTTATTGTGGTTTCCTTTATATGTAAATTCACTTTATTAGTTGATTGATAAAATGTATACTTTGGTTCACTTTTGCTACAGCTTTTCTTTTACTTTCCTTGTAGGCTTCATTTAAAACCTGAAACAAAGTTAAAACCAGAATTTTCTCCCAATTCATTGCAAGCTCATACTTTTTTTGCACCAGTACAGATTAAATTGTACTGTAAGCCTACGTGAGAGAAAACAAAAATGGGAAATGGATACAGTACTACTATAACTATTATTAATGTATTTACACGTTTAAGTCTATTTTCATGACTTTGTCAGGCAATCTCTAATCATTATGCCATTGTGTGAGTCTCAATCTGAAATCTAATCCAACTAAGCTGAATTTGGAACACAAATATTAGATTAGATCCATTTATAATACGACTGAGTATGGATTTACCCCAATCAAATCCAATCGGAAGTAGGACTTGATTTGATTACTATTTTGTTAGGATTACAACTCATCTATTGTTCCACCGATTGTAACTGAGCAGACATCAACAAAGGCTGCTGCTTCTTCTTTCTTGTTACATAACAACTGCTTGATATCTCCAGTTCAATGAGATCAGTGAAGAATTAGAAGGTGTCGGGAACGTGTTTGGTGAATATGGTCTCATTAGCCTTCTAAAGTGTTGTACTTTTTTTATAAAAAAAATTTGTAATAATTAAAACATGGCAATTTATATAAGGTATTATTCTAGTTTTTTCATTTTTCAATGTTCAGCATCCCCCTTGTAGATAAGTCAAATTGGTGTGTCACAGAAGTCTATGCAATACTGCTGTTCCCTTGTGTTTTGGCATAAGTGGGCATCAACACAGATGATTTTAATCTCCATTGTTTTTAAAGAAAATCCCAAAAGTCAAATTGATTCGATATCAGCAAAATATAAAATCCCTAGGGAGCCAAGTTATTGGTAGGGGTGTCAATTCGACAGGATTTGGTCCAATCAGGTCCAGTCTGATGTGAGTCCATTATAAATGGACCTGGTCCAATCCAGTCCGATGAATATTTTGGACCATTTTGGACTGGTCCAAAGACTGTCCAATCTGTTCAAATTCATGTTAATTTAGATTGATTTTAACTCAAACTTGGTCCATTGACCCCTATGTTCTTATCTTCTATCAATGGATCAGATATTGGCTCAATGCAATATATATTCATTATGTACGGATCAGGGCCAATCCAATATTTCATATTGGTCCGTCCAGTTTGTACAAATTCAATATGTCTTATTGGTCCGTCCAATCCATCCAAATGAATTTTGAATTGGACAGAGTCCAATCCAAAACCGGTCCGCTGACACTCCTAGTTATTGGGTTGGGGGGGTTTCTAACTTTTAAACAGGGTGATAGGCTTGTCAAGGAAATCCAACAATAGGAGGCCCAATCTGATTATCTTATACTTGGATGATGTATTTATGTAATCGGATCATATTTAAATTTGATTATATAATAATATTTATATAATTATATTTAAAATTATAAAAAATATATATATATATATATTTTATATATTATATTATATATGAATTTGTATATAAATATATTCAATATATTATATTTACATTATTTCATTATATATAAAAGTTGACAAGTAACTATTTTTCATTTTATTGTATTTTGAAAAATTAAAGCAGCGTTGGACTAAACCTGAATTCGAACCAAGTCTGTTAGGATTTGAACTCAAATCCATTGTCCTTCAAGTCCGACCGGATTTTGGATCGGATTCAGTGCAAGTTTTTAATAATCGGATTGGATCCATATTTGAATGAATCTTATCCGTGTACAACTCTTATTGGGTAAGGGTGTTAATGGACCGGTTTTGGATTGTACCCGTCCAGTCCAAAATCAATTTGGACGGATTGAACAGACTAGCAAGACATATTGGATTGGACCAATCTGGTCCAAAACATTTATTAGATTGGATTGGACCGGTCCGTCCATAATAAATTTATATTAGATTGGGTTGGATTAAGCCAATATCTGGTCCCTTGATATAAGATAAGAATATAAGTGTCAATGGACCAGGTTTTGGTTAAAACCAATCTAAATCAAAATGAATTTGAGCAAATTGAATGGTCCAGACATTGAATTGGACCGATCCAAAATAATTCAAAATATTCATTGGACTGAATTGGAACTGGTCCATTTATAATAGACTCACATTGGACTGAATCGGATTGGACCAAATCCAATTCAATTGACACCCCTACTATTGGGTGAGAGTAGAGTCACATTATTGAAACCCTAATTCTAATTTTAACCTAATCTGAGTCAATCCCACTTGTTTGGATTACATTTCTAGGTTTGGCCTCGAATTAAAACAACTTATTTACTTTATTTTATACGGTTTGATTGGATAATGCCTCAATTTTAGTCTAACCCGAACTAGATAGGGTCTAGAATCTTAACAAAAACTTCAAATCAAACTTTTTGGATTGGATTTGAAATGGACAATACTTCCACCCATTGGTGCACTATGGAAATTTTCGTCACCCAAGAGTGCTCCCATGCATGGGTTGCCCTTGCTCCATCAGCATTGATCTTGATCACCCTGGAGTAGGCTTCTGCCATCTGTTCAATTTAGTTGACACCAAGCTCTCCTCTTTTCCCACTCTGAATTTACATTCTTCTTCAATATATGTAATTCCGTTCGTATTGTCCGTGCTGCGAAAACACTTGCCCTCTGTAAAAGCAAATATCTTAGAGACTTATCAGAGCCTTCCATCCCTAGAATATATGCTATCTGAGTCATTCCCGTTGGGCCAATTCACATGCAAATAGCAGATGAGATATTATTTTCATCTCTTTACAACACACAAGCCAGCAGGGGTGTTCATTATTTGGTCTAGACCACCCAATCACACCGAATTAAATTGAAATTGGCGGTTTGATTTGATTTGGCCTTAAAATTTGGTTTAGTCTGAGAATTCTTCAAATCGTAATTTTTTTGTTTGTTTTGGTTTTTTTAATTTTTGAAACCAGATCAGACCGTAAACTGTACTAAACCGAATTACTAATTGTTGATGCTTAGAATGGACTGAGGACAATACAGTAAATTTACCTTGTTTCCTAGACGAGCTGGCTAAGAGGATCTAAGCGCCGCTGAGGACGAAGGCACGTAATCGAGGTATACTGCGGCCAAGGGCAGGTGGAGTTCGACCGAGGACCGGTGGAGGCCGAGGACCGGTGGAGGCTGAGGACTAGTGGGATCCGAGAAGTGCTGAGGTTGAGGACTAGTGCCTGCGAAGAAAGGGGACATTAGAGGCCTCGAGTCGGGGACCCGAGGTGGAGACTCCGACGATCAAGTTAGTAGGGTGGAGCAAAGAGGGCGGACGAGGTCGCCTAGAAGCTGGAGAGCTAGAACTGGGAATGCAAGTTCCGGATCAGAATCAGATCCCTTACCTTGGAGGAATGTCACCCTATTTATACTTGAGGTCACCTGATGGTGAACGCTGCGGACGGTCAAGATGCAATCTTAGCCCCAGGCGGGCAGGCATCCGACAACCACTGTGTGTGGTCATGTTGGACGCTGACCTCTGCCCTGTACAACGCACTGATCGGTTTCGAGCTCGGCCACGTGTCAATGCACCAAAGGCCTGCCTAAAGCCCCCACATCATTT